AAGTGTTGCGTCCATTGTTTCAGCATAAAATTCACAACAACAACAACTATAATATGAACACACAGCGGAAGGAAGCGCTCAGTGGACAGACACCGCTCCGCAAAACATTTATTGGACGCACGAATGCACAATCAAGCACAGCGCGCCATCGCGCCAGTCAGGCGAATGATTTTTTGTTTTATTGGTTTATATTAGCAAACACGTGTGGAATTAACAAAATATTATTTGCCTGTATTCAACATAAGCGCCCCCCCTCGCGATGTGCCGATGAATTCCCTCCTTCGCACCGCACTCGCCTCTTGAGCTCAAATTCAAACTGCAACGGTATCTTCTGCTAGGACCGCAAGCTTTTACATAAAGTATATATGTGTGCGTGCGTGTTCCTTGAACCGCTTGTTGACAGATTTAAGCTTCAGGGCTGGTACATGAAATAATATATGGTCCACTGGGGCTTCTGAGTTTCTGCCCCACATGCACACCTTACCAACAACAATAAATATCAACCGTACACCCAATAGTGGTTGTAATCGAGCTGCACCAAACGGTGTTACGCCTATAATTTTCATTTTCGATTAAAACTCAATATTTTAAATTATCTACAAAATAAAGACGAAAGCTTTGGCAACCGCCGTTTTTTCCAACATCTTACAACTTCTTAAACCCCTCTGGCAACAAAAAACGTTTTCTAAATGTCTTTAAAGCAACTCGTAGTAGTTTCGGCTAAGAGGACTGGTCAGAAACTTAAATCTTATACCATGAGGTACAATCATCTCATTTGGCACGGCCTTTCGCATAATATCGTGGTGGCTTTTGTTAAACATCCATATGCGGGTAGAGCTTACCTGATGACAATTCGATATGTATTGCAACCCTGGGTGACAGAATAAAGTAAGTCTGTGGTTTCAGCTGGGCCTCTAACACCACCGAGATTAGCGTGTCCATGCCGCACTGGGGTAAATTGTTTCGGCAAGTAGAAGTGCCATTCAAAAGTCAATCTGTTTTTGAGCGTCGGGCTCTATTCGATAAATTTCATAAGCATCAGTTATTTGTAATATGTTTCTTTCGCTTTTTATCTACACGACCATTTATTTTATCTTACTATCACATTTTCAAATAATTCAAAGAACATATATATGTAGGTACATCCAAAGTCAAAAAGTTGCTCGTTTTCCAAAGACTTCACTGCAAACGCTGAAAGAGATAAGTGAATAGAGAAAAGCGGTTAGTGGCATTAACACTATGTTGCAAAATAAAAGTTTTAGAAATGCACGTGAAAGCGAATTTTGGATGCCGAATTGCTCAAGCTAATAGGGTTAGATCCAGCATGAAGAAATTGGATTTTTTAGTGACTGTTATACAAAAATTATGTTGATAACGAAACGGAACTCGTTTCAGACGCCGCCGAACTTCAAACACTCTCGCAACTTTCATGAATTGAAAGGTGGGAAATAATTGCAGATGCCTCTAAAGTTATCCATGCAGGATTCGACAGACTGAGCGTGGCAATTTTGATATAGTATAAGTATAAGGAAGGTTGTACTAGATATATTTTAGGTATAACAAATAAGCGAGGGGTAAGAAATATATTACACTCTTGCGAAAGTAGAATGAAACTAGTTTACAGGCATTTTGCGAATGTAATGTTAGAGGCTGTTTCTTGCTAATTTTGGATTGCTAAAGCCGAAAATGGTAGTACAAATTCCTTAACACGTAGGAATTTTGCGTTGTGGTCAAGGAGTGTGGGAGTCAAACCCCCCACCTTTTACTAAAATGACAAAAAAAGACTGTGCGTGATGGGAAATTTTTGAAATTTGGAAACTCAAATTCGTAGTCAGGATACCTCCAACACCACACACAGGCATCTTAGCACATCAGTTTTGATTGAAGTTTGAAGTTGAATTAAAAGAGTTTTGGTGTGTTCTTTTGCAGCTCGGTTGCAAGCACTGAGGTGATTAGATTCGTGCCAATACATATCATACATACATACATACATAAATGGCAAACCTATTAATTTTCCACATTTACTGATATATTCACACACACATACACACATATCTAGCGAATATAAGATAAAAAGAACAACAAAGCAAGTGGAAAATAACTGTCTAAGTGAGGGTTTAGTGACATTAATACCGGGAGGATTAGCCATTAATCTGTAGTCGCAGAAAAAAACTGTTCAAATCTTTAAAATCAGTTAATTACGTAAGCACACTTAATTTAGTTAACATATAGACACGTGTGTTCTCAGTTTCATGAGGATTGTCAAAGCTACAAAGGCGCAAAATTCGAAATTACTTCTTCGTACTTTCCCGCGACTGCAGATTTTCGCTAAATCACGGATGTGAACGACTGGGTGAGTATTTGCTTGCTTTTTGTTGGTATGTTCAGGTAAGTGGGTTAATGTGAAACGCTTAAAATCACAGCTTTCAAGGGAAAAACCCGCTAGGTGTAAGTACAAGGCAAGAGTTGCCGCTCTTCAGTAGTCCTCGTATCAAAGCCAAGTCATCGGGCGTCAGAGACCATCCACTTAGCTGGCCCACCGATTGCAATTCCGGACACCGGTCCATGAGTATCTGCACAAAAAGCCACAATTAACAGAAATACAAAGGCATAAGTACGGCTACGGGCATGCGGTTATGAATACCTCAATGGATTGCACGGTCAAGTTGGGCGCCAACGTGAACCAGACATCCTCCAATGCATAGAAATCGTGCTCCACGAAAATACTGAAACGTTAATATGTATGTATGAATACGGTTTAATAAATTCGATATACATACATATGTGGCAATATTAATACACATATGTACATTTAATTTTAAAGCTCAAAAAAATTCTGACAAGGTGAATGACGCCCAACTCCAAAATATTAGGATTACACTTACGAATTATTGTACTTACTTAATGATGTCTTCATCCGTGAAATTGATGCTGTCCACGGCCAACCGTTTCAACTGCCTGCAACTGCAGATGAGCATCTTCAGTGAAGTGTTGGACATTGGGCTGCTGAGCATTTCCAAGCCCTCTAGGCATTCAAACCGGTTGCTGTCCTTTGTATAGGAGAGTCCATCCATCATGTAGCAGTCTAAGTCGACCAGCAAGGGGCAGGCACGGACTATTTCGCTTATCTCCATGTGGCCAACACCCTTTATCATGGTCAGATGGCTGAGATTGTGCCCGATTCTGTCGAGCACTTCCATTACTTCGGCGCACGAAAATTTGTAGACTTTCAGTTTTCTTAGAAATGTGCTCGTAAGTACAGAAAGAGATCCGGCTTTAGGCGTGTCCAGATATAGGGATTCCAAGTGCGGACAAGTCTTCATAATGACACGAAGCGTCTCCTCGTCTGTGCCGGTGTCATGTAAATAACGCAGCTTACAAGTAAAGTTCTCGTCAATATTATCATGCACGAACTTCAGCGAAGCGCCCACAAACGAGTAGGTGGAGAGTGTCTCCACATTGGGGCAGTGCTCCAATATTAGTGCAATATCTGAGTAGCAGATATTCTCCTCGCCAGGCATGCCAACGTCCACGACCCTTAACTTATCATTACACTTACCGTGACTGAGCGACTCTATGCCGATTTCGGTGATGTCTGTCTCACCGGATATGTCCAGCACTTTCAGTTGACTGCAGTGTTTGGCGATCACCTCCAGCAGATCATCGTTGGCAATGTATGGTACAAACAACTTGGTCAAATACTTGCATTTGCGCACGATTTCAAAGAGGTAGTGCATGTGTTCCTCTTTGACCCACACCCCCTTCAAGTTAAGCACACGCAATCCGGTGCCCTGGGCGGCAATCACTTGAAGAATCTTCTCATAATACGAAAAGGGGAAGACTTCGGTGACCAAAAACGCAACACTGCCGTTAAGCAGCATTTGCAGACAAGTGAAACGCATATTGGCGTCCAGGTAGTCTGAGCTGAGTATGACCCGCAGCAGGTCTTGATATATGTTCCAGGTGGCGCCAGTCTGCTCGAGATATTGATTGATGTCCACCATCACGATGTCGATGTCCAGCACAACGTCGGGAGCATACTTGGCGTAGCCGATCGTCGAAACAATCTGATTGGCCAGTTCGGCCAAGGCACTATCGCTCAACGACCGAACGCCACACTTTTTAGACATTTTCAAAATTAACGAGTTCTAACGGTTTCTCAGTAATTAAATGTATATATGTACGTAGACCGGTTTGTAATAGCATCCGGTATTTCTCACTCATTTAATTATGGGGGAATTGTTGGTATTAGTTATCCGATTTAATGTGATTCATTCCGTTCAGTTAGACACGTGACTTTCATTTGTTTATAAACATAACAAAGTAAATAAAAACAAATATATGTATGTATGTATAATTGATGTTTACGTGAACTCTCTCAAAATGCTCTCATTACTGCTGTATCTTTTACGCTCTCATTTTCCTCACTGGCGAAAGCTTCTGTCGCAGGGCAAAAGTTACGTCACTTTTTGTTTATTTTTAAAAAACTGTCTTCAAAACTAGAAAAACATATATATTTGCTTGATATAACAGTATGTGGGGTTTTCAAGTATTTCACTTCTTTCAAAACATACAGGTAATGTGCCGAGAATACTAAAAACTAATCGAGTAATGCCTCAAATACGTTCAAAAACCGCCGAATATTTCCTCAAACCCGTGCGCGTAGCCAGAGAACTATGTACATCTTCACGTCTGGCGATCAAAATCGCTACTGCGTTGAATAGCAAAAGCTTTCTGAACGGTATTTTCTATTCTTGAAACGGTAGTGCATATGCACACACACACACACACACACACACTTTTCCAAAAGAAATCCAACTCTTGCATGTCGCAAAAATTTGGGAATGCTCTGAAAGGGAACCAACGGATTTTGTTTACCAGGGACTAGTTAATATCAAATCCAAAGTATCTTTTTGAATACTAGAAGATCACCGCCAGTATAAATTAAAAACTAAAAGACATACTCAATATATATACATATATGTGCATACATACTTATGTATGAGTAAATAAATTTATATTTAACGATTATTTATATGAAATTTTTATTTGTTGTTGCTGTCTGCAGACCAGATATTAAGTGAATGCGGTTTGCAGTTGGAGGCCTGCCCAATTTCGCTCATCTCCGATTAGACTGCAATATAAAGCGATTACTCAGACTCAATCAAACTCAATAAATCTGTGCGTTCGATAATACCATTATGAAATTTTCAGCCAATTAGATTAGTTAATACATAAATGGACTTTAATGAAGCCATGGGTTCTCCTTTGTTTTATACTGGCTTCGCTGCTGCATCAGTGGGCTTATCGTTTCTGTTTTGATCCTCCTCTGATGATTTCGGAGATTTAACCACGCTTTGTGCAGAGGTATCGTACTTCTCTGTTTCTAATATTTGTGAACCACTTTTAACCGAACTCGATGTATTCGTAGAAGATTTCGTGGACGATGGATGTATAAAACCTAGACGAGCGACAGGCAGGGCTGTTCCGGGTGTAACGGGATCAAAACGTAATAACTTGCCAAAAAGTGCATGCTGCATAATTGGATATTTGGATAAAATCTATTCGGAAAGGTGAAACATTTGGATAATTTAATGTTTATGGAATATTAAATCTTTATGGAATTGTTCTTACCTCTTTTTGGTACATTTTCACCAGACCACTGTTAATTTTTGTCCAACTTGGCACTGCAGAAATACTCCATAGCTGATTAGAATGTTCCGCAAAATGTCCGGTTTTTACTTGTTTGATATAATCGATGCATCCTATGAACAAATAATCGTCTTTGTACTCGTTTATTATGTCTTCATCAAGAAAACGCGCCGGATCGAAAGGGCTATTGACTATACATTTTGAACATAAATTAATTTATATAAAATATTATTTGTATTTACTCACAAGATAACTGAGCGCTACCCCAAATAAAAGGAACAAATTGAAAATCGTCAAGAGACCAAACTCCTTGACTACCAGCTGGTTCTAAATGATACTCCTTTTGCAACCTTCTCACAAAAATTAAATAGCTGTTAAACAGGCGGAGGGCGCAAGCTATACTGTCCTCTTCTGTGAGTATTTTAGCTTTGAAGAGCGCACAAAGGAAAAATATAAAAGATAGTTCATGACCAGTTCCGTAGTCGATGCGGACAGAATTGCCAAAGGACTCGCTCAAATATGCTCCTAGTTCACTGAACAGATCACACTTCTCTTGCGGTAAGGCTTCTTTCATGAATACAAATATATCCTAGAACATAATCTTGGGATTTCAATTTCTTCATCAATCAAAATTTGTTATCATGTGATAAAAGATAATAAACTCACGCGATGCATTTTGCGTGCCCAAACACGATAGCCTTTGTTTCCGAAGCGAGTTGGTTGATCAACCGGAGGGGATTCATCAACAAGCTTATTGAGCTTGTCGAAAATGCCCACAACATTCTTCATTGTAGGTGAGATGTAAATATTCGGATCATTAATGCGTTTGCCTTGAATTGCATAACTGACAGCATTTATAAAACCCAAAAGGTCATAGTAAGCTTCCGAACGCTGCCATTTGACTATGTCCTGGGGTATCTTTACGTGCTTTGACGGCTCATGACCGCTTAGTGCTTCGACTAAAAATTAAAATGTATAACAAATTTGGAGAATTACGCAATTCACATTTGTTCTTACATGGGATGTCCGATTTACGAAACTCATCCATTTTTTAAACTCCAATAAATTGTAAATATAGTAAAATAATATTGTCCGGTCTTACGAATGATAAAAAAAATGTCAGAAAATTTGTTTTGTTTTAAGTAACCTTGAAGGTTGCAAGGGTTGCTTATACGACTAAATGTAATTTTTGAAAAAATGTTTTAGAAATGTGCATGAATCTTATTTTTCTTGTTTAGCTTAAAAATATAGATTTTTTTTGCCAAGTGCCGTTATTATTATTGAAACTAATGAGAAGTATTGACGGGTTAACGCAAAAATTTAATCAGTTGTTAATTTATATAAATGCTTTTAAGGGCAAAACAATAGTCAGTAAAGAGATTCATATTTCGAAACAAGTATTTTTAGTGAATTAAATTTTATTAAATATTAAAAAATAATTTATTCCTTAAAAATACCAAACATCATTTACGTTTTCTTTCTACTTTCGTTATTGAATTCAACGCCGTTAAATTTATTTCTCCCATACAACTCTACAAAGTGTAGACGTCAACGAATATAATACCGGCGTATTAGCGTAATTCTTTAAACTGTTTATAAAGTCTAATTCCTAATTGCAATATGATTGAGACGTTGTATAGCTTACCATTCCAAATATTGGTGCCTCCAAATATTAAAATTCGACGACCGACATGGATTCGTAAACCTTCCCCAATGGTTATGTTTTCCATTGTGCTACTGTCGTATTTCCTCGTCACTGGTGGTAAGCAGCCTCTTTTGTCAACGCCTACATGATATACACAGTAAATGTTTTCTTATATATGTATCTGTATAGGAATTATATACGATGTAATTGTGGAGCCACCAAGTGTAGGAGCTACGGTGGATGAACATGGGCATTCTCGACCGGTCGCTTTCATGCCTTACCGAGTAAATGGTCAATATATAATGGAGGGATTGGCTAGCAGTTTTCTGTTCACTATCGGAGGTCTAGGATTCATCATAATGGATCAAACACATATACCAGGAAAAACAAACCTCAATCGTTTTCTTTTAACCGCGATGGGATTTATATTTATACTAGTTTCATTTTTCACAACTTGGCTATTTATGCGTATGAAATTACCCAGCTACTTGCAGCCATAAGAGAAAATTGAAGTTGGCATTGGGTTCTCGAACATTTTATAATACACTTTTGCGATCTACGGTAAATAAATATTATAAAGATCAAAAGCTGTATCTACAATGAACGTTCTTACTTAGTAATTAAACCAACTATTTTAAGTTAAATTGAAAATTTTATTTATCAAATGTCACTTACTAATACGTATTTGTATTGCAATACGATAAAATAAATGCACATTGGAAGTACATAAATTGTGAATCTTTTAATTTCTTAATATATGCACTGTTTTTTCGAATGTTTACAATTTTGATATTTAATACCGTATAATTATAATTCAACTATGATAAATAAAACATACTTATTTTAAACAATCGTAAACCTACGTATTATTATAGGTCTGTATAGAATGAGATATTTTTTGTCAGTAAACAATACTTCCGAGGAAAAATTATTACCTTCTGACAGTAATAGCATTTAATTTTTGTAATCTTATGTGTCACTTGTTCATGAAAAATATTGAATACATTCATGGCAATTTACAATAGCATATGATTTGTAGCTTCAAACTCGAGTTATTTACATATATAATTAAATCACAATGAAATGAAATAATTTGGTTGCAACAACATTCAAATATTCTTGTAAATGTTATTGATAAATACGAATAAGGATAGTTCATAATGGTTTACATAAATAATCTAATTTAGTTGAGATTCATTTAATTCTATTATAAAATATAACAACAAGGAAAATACTACATAAAAATGTGTAACTTTGGGTATTTTTAAAGATATAAATGTATAAATATGGTTTTTATATGCCGGTTGGATTGTTGTGCTGCTGTTGTTGTTGTGCTCTTAAAGTCTTATGCGAAAAGAACTGTAGGAAAGAAAAACCAATTACTTATTATTTTCAAGATATCATCAATCATACTTAAGAAAGTCTCTAGACTTATCAGTGACATGCTCGAATTCCGGAAACGACAAAGCTCCATCATCATCGAAATCTGCTTCTGCTAGAATGCAGTGAATAATCTCTTTCATATCGCAGTCATCTAATTTGTTTTCTGGGCCACATAATCGTTCAATAACTTGTTTTAAATCCGAAACACCAAGCATATCATCACCATCGAAATCTGTTATCGAATTATGTTACATTAATTTAAAAACATAAAACCATATTTCCATCATTTTACCCCAAATGCGGAAAGCGTATTCCGCTTTTAATTTTTTTGGGCAAGCATCACTAAATACGTTCATCATATCTAAAAAGTCTTCAAATGTCATATCACCATCCTCACTTGAGCTAAACACTTTACATATTCGATCGCCGAAAGGGTTAACACGCAATTCTGGATATTGTAATATTTTGCTCATTGACAATTTGGCATTCTTGTTGTGTCCAACTTTTTCGGGAGCAAGGCTTTTAAATTTTTTGTGAGCACTGCAAAGAAATGTAAACTCAAGCGATATTATGGATTTTAGTTATTACTTACAGGAGTATCTCTTTTTTCGAAAAAAATGTCAAGTCCTATAAATAAAAAATAGTTTAATCATAACTCATTTATGCATTGAAGCAATTAACTTCGTAATCTTGTAACTCCTCGTCAGTGAATTGGCTCTTTGTCTGTCCCATTTCGCTTCTTCAAAAGGTAAACGCGCAATTCTCAATTCATTTCAAAAGTATTCACTAATTCTCCATAAATATAAAAAATTTCAACGGCATTTGTGATTTAATTGAAATAAGTTCCCAATAAGGGATACCAAAACAATTTGCAAAAAGATGCTGATGCTGCTACTGCTGCTGATTGCAGAGAACATTAAATTTTGACATTCTCTCCTGTTTGTCAGAAGTCTATACTCTTTGTTTGATTTCTTTATTTACGAATGAGAGACCTGCATAAACGAAAAAACAGGTGATGCAAAGAAAAAGTTAATCCCTTATTGCTTAAATTTTTCAGATAAATCCTGTATTTTTTTCCAACATCAAAAAATATATACAATCAAATTAATAGATAATAATAAATTATATGTTAGTTGATTTAATTGAAAGCCAAAAATACAATAGTTTGGAATTTATTTTCACTTATTTTTAATAAAGTATTCGAATAATATTAAACCCAAATGCAACCCAGTTTCATAGGAAACCAAATAAAACAAAAAAACAGCGCAGAAATGAAAAAGTGAAAGAAATCTTTTCAACAAAAGGATTTCGTGGGGCGGAGTTTGTAATTCTTAACGATGAAACGATACGGTTTCCGTGCATCTTAAGAATATTTTTAATATCATGTGTAATAGCTAATAAAATAAGAATTAGTGTTTTTAAAACCGCTGACCATCTCTAGATATACAGAAAACTGCAGTTCGACCTTTGAGAAAGAAGCATTCGCGGCTGAAAATCAGAAAGGGAGAAACAAAAAATCAACTCGCTGGTGACGTGCAAAACTAGTGAAAATGTTCCTTAAAATATTGTAAGAAATAAAGCACCTTTAATATAGACTTAATGCCCGAGAATTCATAATAGAAGGTGAAGCGCTGAAACGCGTGATATTAATTGGATGAAGCTTGGATTGTCATGAATTGTACCAGTACAAAAAGACTACAATCCACAACAACTACACCAATTAATAGTTCGGAACCAGGGCCCTTCATTTCAGCATCACCATCACCACTTTTAGAGACTCCCTTTATAGATCATAGAAGTAACGTTGGAATCTCAGACTCATCTATACTTACTAGTACTGTTGAATATACTGACTTAAAGAAGAGAAGGCCAACACCTCCCCCAAGGTTAGGAAGGGCCCGAAAAACTACTTCAGCTGCGGCGCCGGCTCATCAAACGCTGATGTAAGTATACCTTTATTTGATGTTTAAAGTTCAATTGATTGTTACTAAACTATTCCAAATTTGGTTCTCAATACATAATATAATTTAATGAACTTAGCATGTTCCTTGCATTAACGTAATCGCTGTTTTCTCATAACCTAGTTAATATTATAGTGCTTAATTTTTAATTGAAGCCACAACATTTGAAAAATTCATAAGGGAGTAGTGTCAAAACCTAATACCAATATGAAGGCTTTTAACTTTTATCCATAATAGGATAAAATCTTTTATATTGAAACTTCTGTAAGGCTTGCATGCAATTATTATTGTTATGAAGTAAATCAACACTAGCAAAAATATCTGAAAAATCTATTCATGTACATATAAGAATAAACGTAGTTTATTATTGAATCAAGTTCTACATAATGTTATTATTAGTTAGTTTATTCATACAAATTTGTTTATTACAACAGACATGTATGTACGTGCTACAAGAACTTATTCAAATAATGGAAAACATGGAATGAATTGAATGTGTAAAATAGACAACGCAAATTTTCTGCTCGGTATTCTCTTTAATGTGACATTTTAACATTTTCTTCTCTACTAACTTTATAATTGTTGTTATTATTTTTGATTCAGTCGCCGAGTTGCCTTTTTCTATTGGCGTACGTCGTGATAACCACTGCTCTACTCTACATAGACTGTTTAAAACGTGCCCGCATCAGTTAGAGCATTTGATCACCCATTGTTCATACATACAGTCGTACCACATTCGCCTTTAATCATTCATTCTTAGCTAAATGTACTTTTATATACCAATCCTGTTAATTGATCAATTTAATGAAATGTAGGTATGCATGATTATTTCAAATAACTGAATGTTTGTAAAGTGAATCTTGCAGAATAGTCTTCAATCAAATAATATTGCATATGAACATAAGAGCATACAGCTGTTGGATGTCCTGGAAAGCATATGTATGAGAAAACAAGCGAAAGCCAAATATGTAAAATATTGATTTTCCACAAGTCTGCCCTTATAACGAATAGTTTATTTAGTAGCAGCAGTGTGTGATATTCGTGTTGAAATAACAAGTTTAATTTATTTTGCAAACATAATTTAGCCAAGTGATAGTTTTACTGAGCGTAATTTAAAGAGGTGTGAAATATTGCTTCAAGTCTCAAGCCACTCTTTTATCTTTCTCGAGCTAAACTAAATCCACCGAAAATGTTCTTAAATGTTTATACATACATTTTAGCATGGTACTGTAGAACTTGAAAATAAATAAACAATTTAAGTTGATTTATTGAGGTTGGGAAAGTACTATTATATTCGTATAGCTAAAATGTATTCAATCATTTGTTGATAATTACATATACATATACCATACATAAGTATTTTGTTATCTCGCAATAAAACCACACATTAATATATCAACCTATACATTTGTGACCCCTTATAAAGTCTAAACACTTTCTTAAATTCATGTCCATTGTGTTATTAAGAAAGAATAGTGCCAATAAAAATTACTGAAACTAACAAGAATGCATTAGTTTCGACTGTTAAATCTCATTTAACTCATTATAAACGTTTTGTAGTCAAGCGATTGCTATAATTATCAAATTTGCGATTGATAATTGTTATAATTTTTTTAGGGGAATAAGTTCAGCTATTAATAATAGCGGGTTTTTGTTCATACATGCGATACTATTAGTATTAGGAACTTATTAATATCAATAAACCCTGACTTAATCCTTTTATATAGAAATTCGTATTCGAATTGTGTTCTTGAAATATGTTTTATGGTTCCAATTTTTTAGAATGTTACTGTCACTATCTCTATATACCTGAGTAGATAGAAATTCGATAAGCAAATCCATACTTTTATGACCACTGTAATAGAGYCCATCACTTGTCTTTGTTTGCTTACACGCAAACCTGTGGGTTTTTGCAGAGTTTTTGCACAAGAGTTAGTCTAATCTTGTTGTTGGTCGAATAGACACATTGGTTCAATACGCGTACTTATTTATATAATATACTATCATTAATCCATAAATAACACAGAGACATTTGATTTAGCATGACAAGGCGTGCGGAATATTTTGTGATTTGGTAAAATTCAATCCGAGTTATTAATATTAACCTGATATGCTGTATAAATCTTGCAAGTGGTGTGGTGTACAAACATACATATGTAGCTCTCAATATTAACCAGCTCTTTGTGTTATTTGCTCATGAATTTACATTTTTTCTTTTACCTACCTTACTTACATTTAGTGTATAATTGAGATTGTATTTTACATATTTATAATTTTTAATTTGAATTTTTGTTTTTATTTTATTGTTTGTTTTTTACGTAAATTCTTGTAGGATAAAAAATATTGAGAGCATATCAACTCATGCGAACGCTGAGGAAAAAGATGAAGAAAAGGAAGAAAAAGATATTTGTTGTGGTGCCAACAGGTAGGTATTCGCATATGGTTGAAATTAGATTTACTTTGCTCCTCCGCTGTAATGAAATCACAAATATGTATGCATTTTGTAACGAATCGTTTGAAATATAACTTTTAATATCGCACTCACCTTTCATTTGCATACTTGTGAAATTCTGCATGCACTGTTTTCGAATAAATATTCTGCACTAATTGTTTTACTCAAGCAATGTTGCCTATTAAGACTTAAATTATTCCCATTGTTTTTCGCAGGAAATCTTCCATCGCCGAAGAGATTGGTGCAGCACAGGTCAATAAACTAAAGCCTATTAAAGAGGGGGCTGAAGATATCAAGTCAATAAACACTAATAATACTAAAACTGATATCGGCGCATCCACTATAGTTTCTAGCGAGGTCCAGGAATTCGGAGGCGGCGATTCGAAATTGGCGAATAATACGTTCTCTTCTACCACACTTAAAGTAGAGACAKGTGTTCTCGTCCCTAACTCTCTTACGACCGAATCAAATTTTGTCCCTACTGCAGCTAAYAAACAAATACAGAGCACCGTTAAATTCTCAACACTGACGGAAACACTTGAATGTGGACTCAGCGACGCTGACAAAGCCGAAAAGGAAAGTCAAGACCTATCCAGTGGGGCCACATCGGACGGTTTATTGAATAAGGCGTCTAATAGCGGAGAAAGTTCACTAAGTCGAGAAAATTCAATTATTTTAGTAAAAAACAGATTACCGAAAACACCGTCGTTTTCAAAATTATCGAGYAGCTTGCAGAGTTCGCTGGGAGCACTTAGCGGCAGCCGCCCTGATGAGGTGAGTTTATTGAACTTGTGTAAACTCTTTTCTATAGTTATGACAGAAGCGTGCGCTTGCTTGGTGGGTGCATAGGTTGAATTTCACGGTGCGTACAGAGTTTTAATTTTGTTCGAAACATTACATTCGCAGTTGCATATTTATAATAAAGCTTAGCATCACTAGCAGACAATATGGGTGTGGTGATGAGTTTGATGTTACTGTCCGCCGTCTGTGARCAATTAACATGTCAGCTTAAACAGGTAAACTTAAAATTCGTTTTATTTTGCATTTCCTCTTATTTATCATGTCAAATCTTCTTGTTAGTTGACTCAACTAAATGTCTTGGTGTAAAAATAAKGGCGGAGTATTTTTCCAAATAAGTAATCTAACCTTGTGCTGCTAAAGTATTGCAAAAGCTCTTTATGAATTTGAACCCATCTATTAGTGTATTTATCTCAACTTTTTACGTTKTGGAGCTTTCATTGATAAGAAGTATATACATGTCATATTGATACTCTTTAGTTCRGGTAGCTTTTTGCAAATGTACAAACATACATTTATCAGAACAATTATTTATTTTGCTATATTTCATAGTATAAACTTGTATCAATTACAAACGTACAGGACGACTGTATCACGAACAGCGATCAACAGCTATGTGCCTCAKTGTGCTTGCTGTGCTTTTTAGTTCTCGCAAGTTGCATACGATTGCTCCGATTTTGTCTGTTTTGCCAATGGTATCATTAGAGAGCGAACTTATCACTTCTGGCATTGGCATTGGTAATAATTGATATCCACTAGTTGAGGCCGAAAGAGTGACAAATAAAATGCTTATTTTTTAAAGTCCGACATTTAGATTTACCAGTCGATTATAGGCGGTTGTGRTGGAATAAAATCAACATATGGCAGCGAGTGAGATTTTTTCGCTTACTCGTTTGGTTTGTGTTTACAAGTAATTTGATATTTGTGTTGTGAATTGCATTATATGCTAGTTTTATCATTGCACCAGTGATCTTCAAACATAAAGGAGTTTGAGCCAAAATAAATTTATTTGTAAAATTCTATAATATTTGCAAAAGTATTATAAGGTAAGTTGCTTGTGGGCTTTTTTACCATGTGAATTATATTATTTTTATCTTCAAATACTACTAATCTTTATCGGTAATTATGGAAAGATAACACAGCAGTTAAATTTTATTTGAACAAATGAACACCTGTGGCACGACGCGTATTATAATTTATGCCGCCATATATTTGGTAGACGGAAATTCACTGTCGGCTCTGTTCCCGAAATCCCCCTTTATTAGATTATGCATTCCCTATACTCACACATGATAATATTAACTGACATTTCGTGTTTGATCTCATTTTAGGACACTATCAGCAAGTCGAGCGATACTTCTGGTGAGCTAGTGCGTGGTATATGTGACGATTCGACTGCTCTTGATAAACCAAAAAGYGGCTCGCGGCTTTCGGAGCGAGCTAAAAAGAAGTCTTGGTACAACGTCCTTTATCCGAATTACAAATCTCGGGCAGAAGATTTCAAAAAGCTTTTCAAAGAAGTACCGTGCGAAGAGCGTCTTATTGTCGGTGCGTAGAAAACTGAACTGAGATCTCAAGTCGATAATTACAGTAATAATTTTTCGGATTTTTTTTTTTTTAGATTACTCGTGTGCACTACAGCGCGACATTTTAGTGCAGGGGCGCTTGTATGTCTCACAGAATTATGTTTGTTTTCATGCTAATATATTCCGATGGGAAACCTACTTAACCATACGTTGGAAGGATGTCACGTCAATAACAAAGGAAAAAACTGCTCTTGTCATACCAAATGCCATTTCGATTTGTACTGCTAAGGAAAAGTACTTTTTTGCCACATTCACAACACGTGACAAGGCGTTTTTGATGCTCTTTCGAGTATGGCAAAATACATTGATGAACAAGCAAATGCTACCGCAAGAAATATGGCAATGGGTGCATAATTGTTACGGCGATGAACTTGGTTTGACCACAGACGACGAAGAAGATTACATTGATCCAACCACAGTACCCCCAGAGAACGAAGGTGATATTGATTATGCATCAGCACTAGAAGACGCAACCTCTATTGTTAGCTCAACCCTCACAAGTGAATACAACACAGCACATTCAACACAAAACGTCAACATAAGCGGTGACAATAGCTCCAGCACAAGCAGTGGCGGCGGTGGTGGCGGTACCAAATCAAAAGCTAAGACATACTTTTTCAGTTCGAATAAATCGATTGCGAACACTTCGACCACWACGTCGGCTAGCGGTTCGGATAACAAAACAAGTGACAATAACRTACGCGAGCGCGAACGCGAAAGCGATTCCAAAAACACAATGAACGCCAAGGAATTAACATTGACTTCGGTGAAGCYGGAAGATGAGGCTGCCAAGTGTAAGCCGGGCAGTTATAATGCGAATGAAAGTAGCAGCGGCACCAGTAAGGAGACAAAAAGCTCAACGCTTAAACCACAACCGCATGAAAAGCGCAAAGTTTCAAAAAGTACGCGTGTCCGTGATGAGGCGGCAAGCAATAATCAAACCAATTTGCCTACAGACGTYTCTGGTTCCAGTGACTCTGAAGAGAATAAAGCTCCGTAAGTTTATTTTTCGAATTATTCTRCTTGTCAATTGAAATTGAATTTACAAATTATTATGTTTCAGTTTTGTTGCAACGGCGGAATGCACATCAGCACATGAAGGCCGTCAATTAGTTCACACAATACTTCCCATTAATGTAGATACGCTGTTCAACTTACTCTTCTCAAAATCCAAATTCCTGATGGATTTCCATGCGATGCGCAAAACCGAGAATATGTTTTTCGGCGAGTGGGTAACTGATGAGGAGGGCAAGAAGACGCGCGCCTTCAGTTTAACAGTGCAGTTATTAGCTTCCGTTGGACCAAAAACAGCCAGGGTATACGAAATAATAAAATGCTCTTGATCATACAGAAAATACATAGGTATTTACTAACACTGTTTTATGTGCATTCTCTGTTACCTACTTTTAGGTGACCGAGACTCAGGAAATACGCGAGTGTAGCAAACCTGGCGAACTATATTCCATAGATGTAACTAGTGTTAACGCTGGCATTCCATATGCTGATAGTTTTAGTGTTTTAATGCATTACTGCTTAATAAGGTATACTCAGTTCCGAAATGAGAAATCAAAATGCGGTGATCCTCTCATTAAAGCATTTTTCGATCGTTTACAGAACCGTTGATGACCATACAATGTTGTCTGTTCATGCGCAAATTAAATACAAAAAATCAATTTGGGGCGTCGTAAAGGGCTTTATAGAGAAGAACACATGGGCCGGTTTGGAGGAGTATTTTAACGCCCTGCAGCAAGCGGTGCAAAGTGAAACCTGCATACCACCCGCCAAGGCAAAAGGACGGCGCCCACGCCGCGGTAAGCACTACAAACTAACAATCAACACTACTAATGTCACTGTTCACGACAAAATTGATCAATATTCGTATAAWAAAACTGCCGTTTCGACCATTGATGCCACCATCCTTTTTGATACTGCCATTGCCACTGCTACTACTATCACCGCCACTACTTTTATTGCTTCTATTCCAACTGCAAAACTTACGTTCACCACAAAGTCCCCCTGTAGTACTGTGAACACCACCATCACTACCGTCACTAACAGTCACAATCGACATAGCAACAGCTCACATCATCAACACAACCAACTCCATTGCTTTAACAGTGTTGAAGGTGTTGATGCTAAACATCCACATCAGAAACACTTCGGAAACCATCATAACCATCACCAAGTGCTTCGTCAATATCCTTGGCTCGATAACCATAAATACGAAATTAGCAACCGACAACTACAAAACTCAATTCACAAAGTCTTACAAGTGCATAAGGAAAATGTGAATTCCAATAGCAATGAAGGTATAATTGCAGTGCCTCCGGTAGATTATCCTTAACATGAACTCCCCTTGCATGAAGTAAACTAATGTTAATTCGGCTTCCTCCTCAATACACAGACTTATAAATCGTTTGCTTTGAGTCTAAATGTGCCATATTAATTTTTTGTTTTCAAATTTTAGGAGAGAGAATTCACCTAACAACTAAAAAACCGCAATTTTGTACGTCATTGTAGCGCTACAGAAAAGTAACGGTTGTTTTTTGCTCTTGCCTCCTCAAAAAAGTGGACTTGGCACCTTTTCACTCCAAGCCAATGAAATTTTACACTGGGTTTATAGTCGTTCGAAAATTATGAGGCCGATCAGTTTGATTTAGTAATTTTTCGTTGTTTTGGTTTTAGCAAAACTCGACTTGCAGTTATGTTTTTCAACGGTTGTTAACARAAACGGTTTCTGGAGCTGGTGCTTGTCGCTATCGACTTGGTGGCCTGCGTTGTATAATTTTAWATGCRGACACAAACATTTATTTTATTTTAAACATGCATACATCACATCCACTGGCACTTACTGTGTTTATATCAAAATTCACCTGCGCATGTTGAAAATGTCCTCTGTCAGTTCCTCATCATACCCTTTCTTTATTTTTTACTTTCTTCTCTAAAGGTACGGCGGCTCAAGTTCGTCCCACGGAGGACGTGCCCGAAGCTCAGACCAAAAGCGAAGCAGTTGAAGTGGCTGTGGCCACCAGTCGACGCAACACCCCGCGGCTACCCCTTGTCGCAGCACAGCAATCGCCAGTTGAAGCAGAGCCACAAAACAAACATAAATGGCTGTCGGTGTTTGTGCTTGCCTTATTGTTTTTCTTAATCGCTCTAAATTTCATCCTACTACTTAAGCTTTGGGCACTGGAAGAGCGCATTGACGACGATATAAGCAATAGCGCGCGCTTACCGAATTTGGCTGCTTTGAGGTAAGTTTTGTGCCAGGTGATACCGATATCGATTCTTATTATTTTCATCTTCCTCTAGGGAATTGCCGAATTCGAACGAAGAGTGGGTGGAGTTGTTGCGCCAGCAGGAGATTTTGCATGAGGCGGAGTTAAAGAAGTGGCACAAAGTGCTGCAAACTGCCATCGAATTGCTGAAAAAGGTGAGCGCCGCGTGCGAATTTATTTACAAGAATGATAAACTAACACAACAGATCGAAAAAATCCATGAGGAGCTCTAGTGTTAAGCTCACAATCAACRGAAATGGCCGTTGCATGCACATGACCATTGAGCAAGTTTCACGTCAATACAGCAATTTTCATAACAGTTATCTATAAAACAAGTGCATATGCATATGTAACCTCATGCYCCCGTAATTTATTGTTAGCTTTCACGAGTTATGAATTAAGGCTCATTATAACCTAAAAATTAAAATGTAGCAAATATACTAATGAGTATCTTATAAAGCACTGATATATGTATGTGTATATGCGTTAATTGCTTCGTTCATAACATAACCTATGTTCACAATCCACTCTGAGTTCTTCAACGCAAGAACTTCCCAGGTTAGTTAAAATCACAAATGACAACAAATTTATTCATGATCCATTGGACATTTGAAAAATCGTATTCAATTAGAGAAATCTATGGTAACAACTCGCGCTGAGCATGCTTCTCTCTTGCCATTTAAACAGACTATATCTGTAACTAATTCTTATAATCTACACCGTACTTGTTCTGTTACTTTTAATAACAATTTTATGCTGTTTCTCTTAATTTATTTGGACCCATTGACTTACCAAAAAATCATCGGCTTTTACGTATCATTTCAGACTGAACGAACATTGGCCGCTCTCATATTTCGATAGACTACTTGCTCTGTGATTGATTGCACAGAGAGACAGAAAATGCAATAGTTAGCGCTAACAAGTAAATCAAGAGAGAAAGAGCTTAAATCAAACCGAACTCATTCAGAATAAAGTCTCCCAATTGCCTGGCTTCAATTCGCTTATTGGCATAAATTTGAGCGGCCTAAAATCGGATTTAGAGAAGCGCGAAGCTTTCGAAGCAATGYCACAAGCAGTTCTTTTCTAGCTGAGCACAGACAAGTGCCACTAGATTTCCGTTAGTTTTTATATATTTCAAAAATTTTGTTGCATATTTCCAACGGTTTGTTTTTATTTTTGCTGTTTGCTAAGCTAAATTTGTCTATTTAGTTTTACTTAAAAATACTTAGCTTAAACCTAATTATGAAGATAAAGTGCGATTTGTTGCTTAGACTTTAGTTTAGTTAGAATTAGCAATTTACAAATTGAATATATTATAAAGATTTAGTATGTACATATATATATATATCCAAAAGGTACCGTTGTATTTGTATTATTGTAGTATACTGTAAGCCTAAGGTATTATTGAGGTTATTTGCCAAGCATCGTCAGCCGACTTATTGTTAACCAAAATTGTAGTCGTTTCAGCAGCGTCTAACGGGTTATAAAACGCATGGTTTTATTGTTGTTGTAATAGCAATTTGTTTAAATTGATTTGAGCGTCGTTTCCGTTTTCGAAGCTTTTCAATACAAGCAAGCAATAATAAAGCCAGGCACTCAAGCACACACCTGAAAATTTCCATCGCGCGCAGAAAGCAACAAAGCAATAAAGCAATAAATGGGAAACCACATACATACCTATAAATGTGCGTGTGCTTGAACGAAATCTTATTGAGCCCGAYTATTTTGCTGGATTATCATAAGTGTTAGTACGTACGTATATATTTGTAATATTTTAGTATATATATTTTATATATATTATATATTTATTTTTGTAACGGATATTTTGAAGCTCCATTTAATAATGATATGATTAATAATTGCGTAYGAAAAAGACAAAAACATTTGGGAGGCTAGCTGGAAAATACATATTCATAGCGGTGTTAAATAAACTGCATAACTGTTAATGAGTGAGGGAAACCTCGAATAAATAGTATTGTTGCAAACAGAAAGTATCTCATAAATGTGAAAAAACGCAAGTGCATATACATATGTAAGTTATAACCCAGGCCTACAAAGACTTGGGGGGGCCAACGGTTCAAATGCGTGTCATTTTTAAAATTGTACTACGTTAGTGAAGAACCGTAATTAGAAATTTGAAAATTACTGTCGCCCCGCAATTTTAGAAGATAGTGGTTTGAGCACACCTAGCTAAAACAGTTACATATGTAAGTAAATATAAGCGACTTGGCCAATAGCAATAACTTTGCAATACGCAACGGCAGCTTAAGTAAATTAAAGTGTTAAATTTATACAAATATTGTCAATGGAACTCAATTGTGTAAAATTCAATAAAAAAATATACTGAAAATCTTTAATTATACAAATAAAGTTGGCTTTGTTTATAATCAATGGAATCATTTCACAATCCTACACCTTTTCTTATTGGCGACTCAGCCTAAATGTATGCCACAAATTTCGATTTGGTTGGTGCTGGAAATTCTCAATACAACATAAATCTASATGTGATGTAAATGCATACACATACAGTCGGACCTCCTTATAGTGAACTTCCATCAAAGAAGCTCTCATTATAATGAATTAATTTCGAGACACAGCTGCGGTATGATTTTGTCTCCATGTAGTAAATTATTTCAGATACCCAGAAATAGATAAAGTGTTATAGGGGGAATCTCAAAATTCAAATAGAGATTTCAGCTTTGGAGTTGTAATCCCGGAAGATTGTAGTTAAAATGACACATCGAAGCAACGTTGCATTAAAAAACAGTTATTGGCTATGAACAAAGTTACAAAAGGGAAATCAAAAAAAAAGTAAATTTGGAATTCATGTGTTGCTTGGAATGTCTATGTTAAACCGGAGCAATTGCCAACTGTTTCAGAAGGGCAAGATTTTCAAAAGATACCATGCAGAATCCATCTGAGCATTAGGATGATGAGGTTCTTCTTTCAATATCAGATTTGACGGCTTTGGAGTTTTCATTGAAAAATGTAGCAAGCATCAAAACATCATTCCTCGGACGTTCTAGAAAATCGCGGAGTTTCAGCTGGACTTGGTCATAATCAAACAAAAATGTTAAAAAAAAAATGTAATAAACAATATTTAAATTTTTATAGCGATGAAGGCGATTTGGCCGTTGAAGGAAAATTGACAGATACTGATGAGGCATTACCTAGATTAGAACAAATTTCTTCATCCATAAACTTAATTAGAACCTTTGTGGAAATGATGAGTAACTACCAAGTGATRTAATTACCTCTAAATTATTTGAAAGATTTTGTTCAAAGTGAGAAAGGGAAGAGTGTAATTCAAACCAAATTTACTGGTTATTTTAAATAAAGCTGGACAAAAAGCATAGTTTCTAAATAGTGAGGTGATTTTCAGGTCCCGAGCGAGTTCACTATAAGGAAGTTCAACAGTATATGTACATATATACATMCATAAGTACATAAGTACATACATAAATGGAAGAGGACTCTACATGCCACTGAACAGTGCGATCCAAAAAATAAATACTTAATCGTAAAAGTTTTCCAATTTCAATATACATATGKATGTACATRCAGACAATATGTACATACATATGTGTGTGTATGGATAAGCTGCAAAAGTCTTTATTTAATATGTTTTCGTGGARAATATGTTTGTAAGTTTGCTTCGGGAGTGTGAATGTACTTAGGTACATATGTATATGTATGTATATACGTATGTAATCATATGAGACATCTTAATAAATAAGTATAAATATACATACATACATACATACATATAATAGCTTATCACGATTTTTTGCGAAACTTTTGTTTTCGCTTTGCTTGCTTCGAGTTCACTGCACGATTTCGGCTGATAAGAGGCTATGAGTAGCAGAAACTATGGCCGATAGAGATCAACTACTGCATACATTAATACATCGTATATACATATGTACATACATATGTACGAAGCGATCATTGATCTCATAAATAAAAGTATTTGTATGTATGGATATGTGTATATCATAAAAAAATATGTACACATAATACATTAAAGTACATACATATGTATCAGAGAACTGCAACGAGTAATAAATTTGTGTTTATACYTAAGTACTGATCCGTTACTCTGTCTGATTCTGCCAGTTCGGTTCATGTACACGAAGCGCACCGTTTGTCTTCAAATCAGCGATAGAGAACAACTTTGAATCAATAGCGATCAGTTTATACCTGATTTGCTAATGAACGTTGGCAGCAGCAGAAAATACCAAACTGATGCAAACTCATGCTTCAATGATTGAAATGATCGACAGCGTTCGGTTTGTATATCAGCCCCGAAACACKGATTTAGTCGGGCACTTCTTTTCTATTTCAAATACATATGTTTGTAAGTATATGTATGTACGTACTCGATGGAATTTCCATTGTTTACACATCGAAAACTTGTARCCTGCGCACATTTTCAAAGCTGATACATTTTTTGCCACACATGATTCAAATCAGTCCAGCAGAAAAYTGTTGTGGTTTACTGTACTAAAAGATTTACCCAAAGATTTACTCGAAGATTTACTTACATATATGTAGTTTACCCAAAGTTTCACATCAATTCAAACAATCCTCGCAACGCTATGAACTGTCATGATCCGGTTGGAACCGAAGCCAGCCATACCGTTTACTCGATCGTGATTGCCGAAGAACATATTGTTCGYGTTGCATCAGATCAGTTGACGCTGGCGGCGACTCGTATTGATTAACAATGTTGTCTATGCTGCGCTGAATTGATTCGATTGTGTTTTTGGCACGACTGTTTGTTGTTGGCTGCAGCTCTCTGATATGTACATATGTATGTACATATATTCCTCAGTTCTACGTATCTGTGGCCTCTTATGCTTAGAAATCATATAAATATGTATGTAAATATATACATATGTACCAACATATGCATGTATGTACATATAGACTCGGAAGGATTGGTGATTACTTATTTCAGTGACAATTACGGTACACTAAACAACGTCAAAATCTCAAATTGTGAGATTCGTAAATATACCGTTTGCCTTTGCAGCACACAATATGAGCGGCAATATAATTCTCATATCAGCTCACGCAACAACAACAGCAAATTGCTGAATACGCATGGATTCGAAATTTCAAGTTCAACAAGTGCGACAACTGCGAATCCACAAACAGCCATACGCACATGTGCACATATACATATGTACATACATACATACATACAAACAATATGTAGGCAGTTATGCCATTTSTACAGATATAAATACATATGGGTATGCTTACGTTTGTATGTAAATTTAAGAGCCATAAAACAACACCGGCCATCAAAACAGCCTGTGGCTAGCGGCGCTTTGAAGCAGCAGCAAATCTTATCAGAATGTTGCAAAAAACGAAAATAAATAAAATCGCCAAACGGCAAAACCAAATAGAAATTAGAGAGTCTCACAAAAGTAAAAAGCAAATTTAAAGCACATTGTGCACGCAACGCTATAAAAAGTCTACGCGTGCTCACACACACAYGCACATGCTCATCTAAGTATGTAGTTGTGCAGAGCAATTTGATTGTGACTTTGTGCGTATACGCAACGTGTCAGTCGAACGGTACTAGACCCCCACCGCCGGCGCGACCGCACACCAAAGCGCTACGCACCGCAAGCCGACATACACACACACACACA